TTTTTTAATTATATGGAATCAAAAGTATTTTATAACTTTTTTTTATAACATTACCTTAGATGCCAATTAATGATATTTTACATGCAGTATCATAAACGTATCGACATTTTTGATTTAAAAAAAAAAAATAGATACATATTCCATCATTTTTCAAGTGCTCCTGAGTAATCATTAGACTATTCAGGCTAAAATAATATGAAATAATTTATAGTATAGTATTTTTTTTTCTTCTTCTAGGTAGTGATTTTTTTTAATGCTGTTAATATATATCCGTTAAGGAAATATTGTTATTATTATTCCCTCTAGAAATATTTTAAGTATTTATAAATATGCCTTTGGTATAATAATATTTTATCAAAGGGCGATGCCTATTTCTATTAATATATAGTAACATTGACTAGGTTTTAGTTAAACATAAATAATAAACATATAAGTATTTTATAATGCATACGCTAAAAAATACGATACAGGAAATTTGCGGGAATTTTAAAACTCTGCACTTTACATTGAGTAAATTTTTACTGGAAATACCGTTGAACTTCAAAAAACTATAGTCCTTTGATGTGAAATCTAAGAAAAATTTTCAATCATGAATGTTGATTCCAGAATCCTTTTAAGTTATTTTGCCGAGTAATATTTAACTAAATGAAACTCGGAAAATAAATATAAAAGTACCTTAGAGTAAAACTAATATTTTTCTTTCTACAAAACTCAAGAAAAGAAAGTCAAAACTTTAAAAATAAAATGTTGATTATATAAATATTTGCATAGACAAAACTAGAAATGCCTTTAGCCTAGCATTTATATTTTCCTCCTTAAAGGCAAATATTAACTTGAAGTTAAATTAAATTAATATATTGTATGATGTTTATTATTTAATGTAATTGTTTTACAAATAAAATAACAAGTGTTTCAGACTTTTGAACACGTATTGCAGTGTATTTAAATACTATTTTGAATGATTTTAAAAATGCATAAATAATTTATAGGTATTCCTAAATGCATGCTGAATATAAAATAGACAACTTGAAACTAATTAATAGTTTAAAATTTAAAATTCAAACATATTTTCTCTAACTAKATATTTTTTGTATTGTTTTAAGATTATTAAATATTTTTCAGTATATAGTGGTTTATGAGATACAGTTGTAAGAAAATTATTCACGAATAAATCATTTTTGGAACCTACTCACATTACAGCCACTTGTGATCTTTATATAATATGGAAAATGTCACGTTTTCGTATATTTTCCTTAAATCTATTCGTTGTTTTGTGTATTTTTGGGAAATGAATAAGTWAGCATAGATTGGGAGTGTTTGATAAAAAAAATTTGTTAGTTGAAACATACAACAATCCGTATAGTGTTTGCTGAAAGATTAACCATGCTTGTGTAACCATAGTAGTACTAAATTTACAACTATACCTACTACCTACCAAATTTAATTACAATTTCCGTTTGATTAAGGTTATACAGAATATTTTGTGATAATCCTTGTTGTAATTGTCGTATTTTTTTATGAATAGATTAATATTTAAATACAATAAAAATTATATACATATTATTGTATACCAATTATTTACACATAAGGTATACATGTTCCAAGTTAAGTTTTTCAGTAATCTAACCAGCATGATGTGTTATAGGTACCTTCATATTCTTAAATGTTCATTATTAATAATTATTATGTAATCATATGATAATATATGATTTTTGACTTTTGAAATATTTAAAATTATAAAAATATAATTATTTTTCCTTAACAAAGAAGTATTATTTTCGATAATCATTTGTCCGTCAGAATTTTAAATTACCTAATATTGTTTTCACCATATTAATTATCGTCTTTGTAGTAAAAAATAAGTATAMAATTAAATATTAGGAGTAGGTATATATTTAAACATATTAAAAGTGAATAAAATATGCAAATTATATAGTCCAATAACCTAATATAAACCTTAATTTTTCAAATAAGCAACAAAATGCAAATTATAATTTGATMAATRAAATCAGTTTGATTTGAAACACTCGCTATGAATCTGTAAATACTTTATAATTCCAGTAGTCTTTTATATATAGTCCGTTTTTTAAATTTCCTGGTATCGGTTTTTGCAATATTTCGGTCTTGGTTTCAGTTTCAAGAACAGTTTTTGAAATTTATTGATGTCAGTTATAGAAGGATGCTTCGGTAGCGTGACCATTGGATTTTTAACATATGCTACTAAATATTTTGAACTAGATTGTAGGTACAATTTAATATTTTTCATAAATAATAATATATTTTGGATGGATTCTTCGTCGGAGCCTCTTGTGTGTATCTTGGTGTCAGTTAGTAGGGATTTTAATTGATAAATATTTAAACATGAAATTCTCATAGTAGAAAATATTTATTTTAACTAGAACCATAAATATGATAATTAACTAAAATATAATGAAGAAATCTATATATTCAATTTAATTGGTTTTTTTTTAATTTTTCTGCTTCGGTTTGAGTTTTGAGAATGGTTTTTACATTCTTAAGATATAGATATAGTTGTAGATACTGATTTTAAAGCTTTTGGTTTCGGTTGTGGTTACGGTGTTAAGAAACTATAACAACCAAAGTTTTAACCTGTTTTCAAAAAACTTGTTTCGATCCTTGTTGGTTTCTAATATATATAATAATAAATTGGTTGACGCGCGGACGCAGGAAAAGAATCATCCGGTCGGCGACGGGTGATGACGGTAGTGGCGGACTTTGCGGAAGATCCAGTGGCGCGGAACCGGGCGGYCATCGACGTGGGAGAGCCGGAAGCTAGAGACTGCGGTGACCTACCAAAACAGCAGGAAGGTGACCAGGATGACGACGTGGGCGACCGGTGTTTCTGCGACAGCGATGGACAACAATCGGCCCGTCGCCAATGCCCCCTATGGTATCGGCGTCTGAGGACTGTGATCGAAGGCCGTTTACAAACGGACGGCGGGGTGGGTGTGCTCGTGAACTGCGCAGGCGCGTGTTATCCGCATCCCGAGTTCTTTGCCAGTATGACAGCTGATGGTAATGCTGGAACCGGGGACGGTGACGGGCCTATGCAGTTCAATGCCGACTTTTGCTGCAATGCAGACGTGGCCGTCCGGTGTAACGTGGCAGGGGCAGTGCATGCGTGTCGCCTTGTGCTGCCCAACATGTTAGCTCGTGGACGGGGCCTGGTGATCAACGTGGGTAGTGCATCAGCGTCCATGCCACCAGCCGTGCCACTGATGACCTTGTATGCTGCCACAAAGGTATATAACAGTATGATGTCTGTGTGACTGTGAAGTGTGAGGTTCACTGAAGTGCCATCAGAAATAATTTGACTCGTTARAAGGACGTAAATTATTTTTATCACAGAATAGTATGATGTTTTTAAAACCGAATTGGCCCCAACACTCTTGCTCGATGAACAATCGTTTTGAAAAATTACATTAAGGAGTCCAAGAAGATTTTWAAAAAAAAAGTTACTTCGAGGACTTAATCGTGCTGTTTTGACTCCGTTTAACATGGTTCTGATTACAATGGTTATTGCTTACATATCGTAGGTACCTAAATATATTACTGTCGATATTGGTATGATTAGACAATACTTACGTTGACGACTGTGCCATGTCAGTTTTTTTTTAACTTAATACAATTTAAGGTCACAGACAAAGCTACCATTAAAAATAACAGGTACCTACAGGAAATATTTAAGCCTTTTTTTCTTGTAATGCTACATTACATAACTTTATTATTTATTTATAACAATCCTATTATAGCTGCAGTCTCTCAGAAAGTTATATACAAATTTCCATAATTGAAAACATATTATGATTTTCTAGTCAAGAAAATGTTTTTATCACATGGAACTTTTATAGTTAGAGGATATTTGATAGCGGAAACCATAATAACTTTTTCAGTCGGTTATATTATAGATATTCATAAAATGAAATTACATATTATTTATAAAAACACCACGTCTTTTTAAATAATATTGTAAATGATGATTTTAATATTATTACAATAYCAGCTTTGATTTACTGGTCAATCACTCCAAAAATATCTATAATAGCTAATAATTAATAAGTACTTTAATGTCTGTATGACTACCAAAATGTACATATAATAATAATAATAATAATATCACTATAGCTTTGGCGAGATCTGGCCAAAATGTATGGTGATAAACTTGACGTATAAACCCGTAAAATGTTTAGAAATTTCTGGAAAAGCTGTCTTCCGACCTGGACGATGAGTGTTTATACTTGACCAGAGGGTATACAGATGGAAACGATAGTCACGGTGTCCGTGTGCAGTGCGTCCGACCCGCATACGTGGCCACGGCCATGCTGCGATCAGCCAATCCAGATGTCCGCGTTKTACCCGGTTCCGAGGACGAGGACGAAGAGGATGATGACGATGACAACTACGGTGAAGGGTGTTGGTGGGCTTCCAAGAGAAAGCGCGTGGAGGATCGTGTCCAGCGGTGGCTGGTTCCGTCAGCTCGTCGTTGGGTTCGGTCCGCGTTACGCCAAGGAGGACGATTATACGCTCGTGGTCCAGGTTCGGGGCCCGCCAACTATACCGGATACTGGCCTCACACTTTGATGGTACGTACCAATACGCTTATGATAACAATTTCTGTRGTATACAGGCGTTACGTTTAAGATTTTCGGTTGTAAAAATATTTGAAAGTCAATTTTAATCCATCCCCTGCAGTCCTACAAAGTACAATATAATATGTATGCTTAAAAGTTGAAGGTTATAGCAGTTTATTCATAGGCGTGCACATAGGGCCGGGATAGGTCGCGGTCCATCCTGCGGCTTCTGACTTTTTCTTTAATAAATGCATAGGTATCTAATATCTATACTACAYTAGATTATTTTTATATTTCCTTATTGAATTAAATAAATAGGTATTTTATGAAATTTATAATTTAATATTTAACTACGAGTATACCTAATAGTAGTAATTAGAACAAAAATCTTTGGTAATTGATTCAGATCTTTTTAATGTATGCCGCCTTCGCACCAAGTTTGCGCATGCCTGAGTATACCTTTATACTTATCTTACTTACTATTTACCTATATAGTACTTTAATAGATAAGTATTCTTAGAAGATAGAATTTTAAATATAAATGAAAAATGACACTATTAAACTTTCTTTTTGGCATTTTGATAGGAATTTACGAATTGTTGTTACTAACATTAAATACTTATTAGGACATTTATCTGTGTCGTTCCGTGTAGGTCATGATTTTACACAAACAACACCAGTAAAAATAATGATATTTTCAATATTATTAGTTCTTTATAATATAACATATTAATATATTACTGTTATTAAATTGTTCTTTCCCTTAAAAATATTGACTATTAGCCAAGTTCTAGACTGTCGGACCACAATGAAAATATAGGTACATTTATGAAAAGTAAAAAATGTAAAATGTTAACCCAAAATTCAGAACCCAATATAAAATTTAAAACACTTCATACCTTACGTCCTTTTGTTTAATTTTTGACAAGCCATAGAAAACGTTTCCTAAAACAAAAAAGTAGCTTCAAATAACGCACACCTTGTTTCCTCTCTCCCCTAAATAATATTACGTTGCTAGTGGTAAATAAGTATACAATAGCTATTGCCTGTGGCATAACAATAATATGAGGGACGGATCGTCTATAACCGAGAGAGAGTTTCGATTGTCAATAGAATATTAGTTTTTTCAACGACATAATCCGTTTCAATTACAACGTTTTTTTTTTTTTGTTATACATATATATATAATTCGTTTGTGTTTGACAAAAAACGGAATCTGTCCGTCAATCTCGGTTGATTAGGTTGAAAAAGAACAACGCCTTGTGTTTGAACTATTGAAAAACTATAATAATTGTAGCTGATGCGATTAGACAATATGCCTTGGACAAAATGTTCACACAACGATAATACGTATATTATGATATTTTTGGTCATGAACTTGTACTCAGGCGAGGCGGTCCGATGAATATTTCACACCCGAACCAAAATGTTKAAGTCACGACAATGGTAGTATTAACAGTAGTAGCCACCGTCAGTCAGTTAATTGATTAATAGCTGGCAGAAATAAATAGTTGTTTAGAAAAAAATGCTAGGAAGGTAGCTCTAGCAGAACCTCTCTATAATACCATATTTAATTATTGTATATAGTATTTTTGTACTTAAGTGTATACCCAGAGGTATGATTTCAACGGATTATTTAGAAATCTTTAGTCACTAACAATATTTTTCGATTTTGTTTACTGTTATTAGAAATTTGTTCGGCAGCTCGAATCTAATGGTTGGCTTTTATATTTACTATTTTTAATTCATTTTGAAATCGAGATATTTTTTTAACCCTTTTAGTAATTTTATTTTACAATAATTTATACAATTTYATTTATTTCGTAAAATGTTATGTTCGTTTTTAAATGTCTGTCTTTGTTAACAATATTTTACTGGAACAAATATTTATAAATACGAAGTTAACCGCTTTGATACTTGCAATGTATAGGAAAACATGAAACACAAACATGCAGTTATTCATAATACGTACGTATCATAGCCTTAATAAATTTTCGAAATTGTTTTAGTAGTCATATGTAAGCTGTATACACTTTTAGTACATATAAATTATAAATAATATACAAGGAGAAAACTAAAAAATGCTTTAATCACTATTCAATTATTTGTATACCTATACCACAGATATCTATATTATTATAATATAGATATCTGTGACCTATACGAATATACATATAACAATAACAGATAACACAGCTGTACATTGATTAAGTATAATATCATATTATCGTTTATCAGTCAGTTTTCAAATTGTTTCAATACCCTGTATAGTGGCCAGTAGGTATAAATATACCATTTAACGTAAATAAATAACAAAATATTATAGTATATAACAGAAATAAATAAATAAATGRTATCTACATATGAAAATGTTTTTAAAAAATAAATCGTGTTTATTTAAATTATTTTCACATATTAATTTCCTACTAATATTAATTGTATGTCTATACCTACGGTTTGTCTGTTTGCTAACTCAGAAAAGAACGATGATATGAGTACATGACAATTTATCTGATGAGATTTCTTGTTCATTTTGTGAATTTATAAATATTTGTAGTAGTTGAATAATTATATTATCCATTAAAATTATTAGATTAGTTAACTATATTACAGCATATGCATGTCTTTAATGAGTGTTCAATGCAACAGAGAAAAAAAATGAGTGATCTGTTAACCACTTTTTCCTGTCAGTCAAACACCGTCGTTTCATATACTATACAATTTATTAATTTTAAATGAACCTTATTATACTTATTTTATTTGTTGTATATCCAATTATAATTTATAATGAGTGGAGTAACTAGTATTAATTATGCTAATGAATTTCGAAAATGTTTCTCGTACATTCCCTCGCATTTCATGTTCTGTAGAAATTAGTCATTGCTAAACTATAAGAGCTACATATAAATTTATTTTATTATTCATTAATCCTGAATTAATAATGTTCGTACTTTACCTGTTTTAGCTGTAACATTTATAATATTGCGCCTTCAATTTTACGTTTAAAATGTAATTATAATTTCTTATTTTGTTTCGCATTAGGTATTAAAAAGTTTATAATATATATTGAAGTCTATACATTTTCAAGTTTTAATGATGACTGACTTACTGAGTATTGATTCAATCACACAAGGCATAACCATTATAATATTATTGATATTAAAATATTAAATTATCAAATTTGACGCTACATCGAATATTTAATGACTAGTCAATAACATACGTATTTTTATTATCACTTGTTTGATAGTATACCTATWAAGTATGTCCGGAATAATGAAAACGGTTATTGAATATAGATAAACATTGATTGATTTATATTTTTTAAATTAATCTACCGTTTTAAAGATGACTGTATAATATTTATATAATTRCGGTTACGACGTTTGTTATTGCTTATTTACTAATAATAAATTATAATAAATCAATTTTATTAGGCATTTAGTTTTTACAGTTTTCGAATCGTAAACGTTTTATTTAGTTGTTTGGTATTACGTTTTATTAAACGCCCCCTCGAGTCATCGAAAGTGAAAAATTGTCGACCTAGCACTTTCGGCACTTTTATACCTCATAACCCRACGGCATGTCTTTGCATATTACATATTATTTTATAGGTATGGTGCGCGCGGTTGGCTAGCGCTGTGACGCCTCGTCGGTGGTTTGTCGACCGAGTGCTGATCCCGGGCATGCTCGTGTACCGTGCCAAGGGTCGAGCAGCCATCGCGGCGACGGTGAGGCGGACATAATCTGCCTTGGGAGGTCGTGACAGTGAGGGGGTGATGGCAGGACAAAATCAGGACAACAAAAATACAAATCGGTATCATCATCATCATCATCATCATCGGCATCGTCATCATCATCGTCGTCGTATACAACATCCTGAATTCCTGATGTAGTGGCGATCAGTGACAGCTGCGTCTGAGGGCCACAACACACTGCCGTGGTGGTCAAACAACAACAGCAGCGGGAAACGGAGGCGGTGGAGGGGTTTATAGATCTCTATACATATATTATTCACGCACATCGCACACTATAAATTACCTATTCAAATTTTCATAACACTTGAAGGCATTATATAATATAWACATATAAATATATAGGTGCCTAAGTGTCTTCTGTAGTTCACACTTTCACAGTATCTCGAGTTGAAAAGCCCTGCTGAATGTATTTTTATTTATTTATTTTTATTTCAGGTTCCAAAATATGTAATTCTCGCCCTTAAAAATTATTCATAGTAACTTATCATATTTTTAATAAACATTTCAGGTATCAAAATTTATATTGTTATAATTAACTTTCAAAAAAATCTTGTGGATTCATCACCTACCAAAAATAAAATATTCTGGTTACCTCGAATTCCTATTACATACATTCTTAATTTAAAATTTCATTTGTACCCTTGTTATACTATTTTATTAAGATATTTTGTCATACATTAAAATCATTGTTTTTTATCTTGAATACTGCATTGTCAATTTTTCTGCACGCGTATTTAACACGCATATAATATATTATTATGTATCTTTTAAATATTTAAATCAATTTATCGAGTTATCGAGTTATTATATGCACTGTTTTTTATTCAWCCGCACAAAATTGTTTTAAATTTTATTCGCTTAGCTTTTACTATTCTTATTATTATATACACAAAYATTATATTTATCTTCAATTACACTTACTGTCTGAAATATTTTGTTGTCGTGTTGCTGTTTGTTAATTTTAACACCCTTTATCAGTATAGGTAATGGTATTGTTTTATGATAACAAAATAAGACATCGAACAGTTTTAAAAACACTGAACAATATAAAAACAAATGTGAAGAATTCGCTACTAAGGCGATGAAGGCCATAGACGCAAATAGGGAATATCAATAGGGAGCCCCCCCCTCCCCGGCTTAAACCCTACCATGTTTAACTAAAAATTAAGTTGAGGCTTTGTGCCCATAGCTTTTAATGATCCAAAATAATCATTAAAATATTATTATAAGTTATAGTCACTAACAGCTGTAATGTTGCAAGATAAAAGCTTAATTAAATTTAAAAAAATAACAATCATGTAAAAAAATAAATGTATACAATTAGCAATTAACAAATTTGCGATTTCGACAATCGTTGGGCACAAAAAAAAAGATATGGGTAAAACAACTTAAAAATAACTCAGTGAGTAGTGACAATTTGTTATCTATTTTCTATATTATAGTGCTTAACGCGAACATAAAACTAAAATTATTATTTCCGATAATAGAAATAGGTTTATCATTTTTTTAATTACGAGTATGTGCGGTGTGCACACGGTGTGCCTACGGTGTGTAGGCATTCAAAATCGCTGAAATTTTTTATAAAATACAAGAGAACCCTTGATTTTTTAAAAGTATTTTCTTTCAATTTATTTGTATGCATTATATGTATTTGTATTACATACTATCACGAGGTCATGTTTTAATTGTCTTCAAATTACATTAATACGATAATAAACCAGGTGGGGGGAGGGTGAATTCATATTAGGGGGGATTAGCCTCTTCAAGCCCCASCCTATTTGCGCCTATGTTGAAGGCTAATTGTGGTAATATTGATGATGATAATATTTACCAGCATCAAATGTGCCTACGTGCTTGTATCGTAAATATAGTTAATGGCCCCATATTATAATTTCTACATAATATGATAATATGATAATATTTTTATACTATATTTATAACATAATTATATCATCGTCAATATAGGAGTGCACGAGCACAAGTGCACGTATACAGTAGGTTTCTTATCAAAATTCGTATATATTTATACAGACTGTACAAGACTATTAAACTGTATACACAATATAATACAGTATTTTTATTAAACACAGTATTGATTCTCGTACATAAAATGCTTCCAGAAAAATAAAGTATTATCAATATTTTGCGTGTGGTAGTATGGCGAGATGAGATGAAGGTTTAAAACTATACTATATTTAACACCTATTATATTTTTAATAATTATTATAATACTAGGTACGCGATATTTTTATTTTCAAAAGAAATATTACCTAAATAGTAATAGTGTGTAATATGTGAAAATATAATATCTATATGAACTTAGCAACAATACAAACAAATTCACCAATTTTTTCAGAAATATTGTTATAGCTGTTATAACTGATGGAATGATAATGTATTTGGTAGTATACTTATTAAATATAAGGCGTAAAAGAAGAATTCGATTCTTATTGCTGCGTTTATAATTTTATTTATTTCGTATGGCTGGTATACAAATCAACACAGTTAAGGCCACAATATATATCGAATATAAATCAAAATATGAGTATAAAATAAAAAATAAAATAACTACAGTTAAAAATATAAATATAAAATGTAAATAGTTAAATAAATAAGTATGATAGTAGGCGCTGATACCCAGCAATACAAATCAACACTAACAATAATAAAATATTGTAATTTTATACCAAATATTCTTTTATTTTTTTTATTAGATAAATTTAGATAAAACTTCTCAAAATACATTTGAATACACTAAGAAGTTAAATTCAAAACAACTTTATCACTTTTTTTAAATGTAACTTTAAACACTTAAAAACGCGTAATAGTATTGAAGTAAAAATATTAATTAACAAATTTAAAGGAGTCAATACAAATTAAACAGTTAAGCTTCATGACAAATTTTAATATATTTTCAGAAAGCTTTTTGGAAAGCTGTGAATGATCATATAATTGACCAAATATTGATACTTTTAAATAACAAAAAATAATAAATATTTGAGAAGCACAATATTGACATGAGTGTCTACATGCGAATTGGTATGGAAAAGTATCATGGTAATTAAATTGGTAACCAAAATATAAAATATATAACATGAACATTTTATACGTTTGGGGGCAATTCGGAAAATCATCATAGGACTCCTTATAACTTCTTGTAGTGAATTAAAATATTTTTTTATTAGGTAGTTTATTTATTTTAATATGTAGATTTTTATGGACACCGAGGWCTTAGCAAAAATAAAAATATATTCTTTAGTTCTTTACCCAATTATAACCTCGTCAAAATAATTAATCTGGAAGTCTGTGTACTATAGGATGTTGTATAAATTCTTAGCATTAAACTTTATACATTTAGAATTTAGAATAACTATACCCCTGATTTCACGGATAACTAGATTCTATAATTATCCGCTGATTCGATGGTATAGATCTTTAAGATACAAAAAGTAAATTAAATTTCTGCTCGGAAATCAACATTAGTTCTAAACATAAATATTGCTTCATATACCAAGAAAATGGAATCCTTAGTTTTTCCGAAGATTAAAAATTCCACGTGAGAGATGAATGTGTTTCATTGCAAAGAAGGTATGTTTTTAAATTTTAATTACATTCTTTTGCGTCTACCAAACATTTTATTTATTCTGTATAGTAGAAAAAGTAAAGCAAATATTTATTATTATTATATAAAATACGAACAATGATTTACTGTAAAGTAATTCTRTTATTCAGGACTATTATGAAAAAAATTAAATACTTTCCTTTCCATTCAAAATTAATGAGAAAACTGCTAATGAATTATGATTAAAATCACACAATCTTCAAGTTTCTCTAGGTGTATAAACAACGAACTGGAAAAAAATGTTTAA